TATATATATATATATATATTTTTTTTTTTTTTGTTATAATAGAGGACATTTTCTTACATAAGATTAGGGCAGCCTTCGGTTTCTAGGGTGACTTATATTTAAAGAATACCAAGTTGTATTTGTTAAAAGATCTATGTAAATAAAACCAAATGTCTTTTATTCTAAATTAGATATTTCCAGTAAACCCTTAGGGTATAGACTTGCTGAAATACCCTGTAAAATGTTGTACTCTTGTGTATCCTTCTCTTTATGGTGTGCTTCGAGCTCTAATACAATTCTGTACACTTCCTGTAGCCCTAAGTTTTATTATTTGCCGCTTGTAAGTTATTTAAATTTATTTTTGATTTCAAACTCTTGCTTGTCATGCGCTTAACTATCGCAAACCAAATAAAACGCAAAATATCGCTTAAATCACAACCAAAGTGTCTCTGCTTGAACATAACGCACTCGTCGAGCTATGCTGAATATACTTACGATATGGACAGCTACTATCATGAGCAAGAGCAAGAGCAACAACAACAACAACATCAACACCAACACCATCAGCAACAGCCACAGCAATATGTGCCGCATGTCCGTGAATATCGTGATCCCTGGGCAGATTACTATGAGCAAGTGGAGCGACAACAAAATGAACCCGAACCACAAGCCGAACCCGAACCCGAACCACAATTCGCTCCGCATGAGCAGGTCGAGAGAAGAGGAAGTTGGAGCCAGTGTCAGAGCGATGCATGTCCCAGACCCATATCACCATCACCTCAAGCACCACAAGCGCCACACGCACCTCAAGCACCACCACCACCACCGCCACCACCACCACAACAACAACAAACAACAACAACCACTGCCAATGAAGAGTACATAGCAATAGATGTAAATAATAGCAATGAGCAAGCGCAAGCACAAGAACAACCCACCCACGAACCACACTCGAACCACCACCCAAAGACACAAACTACCTCAAATCACAATACACAAACTGAAGAAGCCGCAGAAGCCGTCGAAGCTGAGGTAAAAACTACAAATGAAACGGGCAAATGTCAACAAAAATGCACCACAAACATAAACACCACCAACACCAACACCAACACCAACACCAGTACCACTAGAACCACCACAACCACCTATCCAGTTCCCAGTTCAGATTTGTTGTTATTCTCCTTGTCTCTGGGTCGCATTGTCTCATGTCGTCTCATGCCGCGTCGCGTCTCTTGTCCTGCGTCCTGTCTGTCGTCTGGTGTCTAGTTAAATTGACTTTGGTTGCTGCTGCTGCCGACGCCGCTGCTGCTGCTGCTGCTGCTGCTGGCTGCTGCTGCTGGCTGCTGTCGTCTGCCACATTTGCATGTCCCATTATCACACAACGTGTGTCCACTGTCCACTGTCCACTGTTCACTGTCTTCATTATCTTCATGCTCATCATCGTCATTCATCATCATGTTGCGGGCTGCTGTTGCTGTTGCTGTTGCTGCTGCTGCTGCTGCTGCATTTGCTGATTTATTGCTTGCTTTGGCCTCTTTCAAAAAGGCATTAAGTAGTCCTTGAGCTGTTCAAGCGTATGCGACTCGTGTGGGTGCGTGGGTGGTTGGGTGTGGCACTTTGGCATTTGCATTTGAAAAGCATTTAAATGTCAACTGGATGTATTTTTTATTGTTGTTTATACCACACGCACACGCACACGCACACGCACCTATACACCCACACCTACCTATACGCCCACCCACCCACTCTGCAGCTTCATCTTCATTGAGCGCAGTCGGCTCATGGTAATCTGCCACACAGGGACATGCGGCACACACTCACACACATATGTATATATAGAGCAGCTTGCAGCGACCAACAACAACAACAACAACAGAGAAGCGTGCATTAATCATACGCCACGTTGTGCAAGCATAAATAACTAACGAGCTAATTAAATGTACATAAAACTAAAATTAAGACTAAATTGAAATAATTGCAATTAATCTATTAATGTCCCATGCATGCCTCTATGTAACGCACAGCAACAGTTATTTATTTAGACATATGTGTTTTGTGTGTATTTTGGAATCGTTCGCTTTTATTTTGGACATTGTCTAACACTGGCCATTGGATCATTTTTTGTTATTATAGGCTGGCCTCGCCGGCGCATTGGCGCAGCTGCGCATCGGCGCGCAGCGCACACCTGAACAGGAGCAGTACGAGAATCTGATGCGTCGCCAGTGCTGGGAGTCGGGACAGATTGATTATGCGGGCGCCGATGCGTTCGACAACATCTGGAAGAAGATAACCCAGACGCTGGAGGCCAAGCCGGACAAGGAGGCGGAAACTGGTAGTTCATAGATACGAAGCTAATATATGTAGTGAACAGACAAACAACAACAACAACAACAAATCGTTATTTATGTGTGACCACAGACAAGTCCTCACACACACACACGCACACACACACACACTCAACTGTGTCAAGTTAAAAGTAGAAAATGAAAACAGAAATTAAAGCCAAGTGATGTCAAGTGTCATGCAAAATGCCATATTTAATTGCTAGACACACACACATACACACACACACACACACGCACACTCGGGCATGGTTTGTAGCCTAGTTAGCAGCAGTAGCACATATCATAAAATTGAAGAAAAAACATATATATATATATATAATGTATATATATACACAGTTTGTATATATTAAAAAAAAAAAAAACGCACAGAAATTTTAATTAAGTTTTCAAATTAAACTTTTTTACACTCGTCAACGACGCTGCTGCTCTCAACGTTATAAATTCATTTAAGTGTTGGTGTGTGTGACACACTTGGCATTTAGCATTCACACACACACACACAGAGAGAGAGATACACCTACTTACACACACACACACACACACACGGCCAGACACATCCTTGGCACAACAACCACAAAACTTTTACACTTCATTGTATTTTAATTGAAAATTCTGATACGTTTTTTCCCACTGTTGTGCCCTCTCGAAACGTAACACTTTTTGTTTTTATTTTAGCTCATCTGCATAAAGGGCCCACAAAATCCCAAATTCCTCTCATCAATTACAATTTTAATTTATTTTTTCTAATGAAAAATGTGTGTATAAAATGTAAAATAAAATGTTTTCTTAAATATATACATATCTATATTTATATTGCGAAACTAACTAGAAAGTGTTGCCTGTTGTTACACGTGTGAGTGTGTATGTGCGAGTGATTTGTATGTGTAGCAAGCTCTATCACACAGCAAATCCAACAAGTTCTTTCTTTATACCCTTTATGTTGTAATTTACATTGAAATATTGTCTATTTATTCAAGAACACAAAACACTTAGAACAAAAACTCTTCGTTTGAAACATGCATTTTTATTTTAGCTTTAAGATTTGTTCGTGTTGCACTCCCCGCCATCTCTCTCTACTCGTCTTGTAAGTGAGTTTTCCAATATAAGTTTGTTTATTTCTCTTTTTACATTTATCGTTTTCAGTCGTCTATTTCTAAGTTCTCAAGCCATCATCATTGCATCAGAGTCCCATCCATTTGTTGTGTGAACTATTTCCTTAGCTGAGGGGGTTATATTAAGAGATTTACTAGATCATCATCTTCAATCAGCTTCATTAGCACCGCCTGAATTGCATCTTGAATCACATCAACTGCTGATCGCCATTCATCTTCAATCATTGGCTTCTGTTAAATGCAATGCTCTTAGCCAGTTTCGCCAGTTAAAATGAAAACTACCCTAACCGCATTTTTGCAGATAACGATAACGATAACGATACCGATAACACGCTAGGCTTAAATCAATTGCTAACTAAAACCGCAAATAAACTGCTGCAGCAGCAGAAGCCAACAACTGAAGCCAAGATTGAGCCTCCCAGCTCCAGCTCCAGCCTCAACCTCAGTCCCAGCTCCAGCTCCAGTTCCAGCTTAAGCTTGCCAACTAACCAGGGCTCAAGTGGCAGGGCAGAGGTCAAAGCCAGCCCCGCAGCCGCCACCACTAACAAACTTCCAACTAATGCACAGAGAACACCAGCAGCAGCTGTGGAACAGCAATCAACCAGAGCAGCCGCCACAGCAACAGCAACTTCGACAACAACAACATCGACAACACCAACGAAACCACAGCGTGCCCAGGCAGCGGCAGCGGCAGCAACACCTGCACCACCGCAACCGGCCCATCAGCATATCCTGCAGCAGAATGCGGCACCCACCAAGCCGAGCAGGCAGAAGGCGTCGCGTAAGCTCAAATAACAATTACTGCAACTGCTGATGCACTACAGCTGCCTGCCGCAACTGGCGACGAGGACAGCGCTGCTCCGATTCACCCTGCGACTGGATGGCGACAACGAATCTGAACAACTGCCGGAGCCGGTGCACGTCTAGGCCCAGCAAGTACAACTACAGTAGAGCCTAAACCTTAACAAAAGTAAAACAAGACAAGAAAATGCTGTACAAATGTTGCTTAAACGAATTTTAAAACAACAAAACAATAATTTACCAAATGCGCCTTAGATGAAACTAATTTGCAATATCTTAGCATAGGAAAACCTTTTCTATACATAAAAGAATATCTTATATATGTATAACATGCCACAAGTGCTTGCCACACACAAACACACACACACCGGCCTATGTAGCTCTATTGTAGCATCTATGTATATGCAATACACTTACACGAAACACACATACACTCACACCAATTGCAACTTCTTTACCCCACACGAAGAGCTCCTGACCTCCGCCGACATTGAGGATGGCAAAATTGAGTACGACAAGGCGACCGGTGCCAGCACCCAGTATAAACTGATCGATGGCGGCTACGAGATGATCATCACGACGCCGCAGCCGAATGGCACGGTCAAGACCCAGGTGAAAACCTTCTGGGATCCGAAGCCCGTCAGCGAGGAGGACTTGGCCAAGGAACAGGCCAACAAGAAGCTCGTCAAGCAGCGCCTGGGCAAGGAGATACGCATCGATGACAAGACCACCATGCTGACTCGCGCCATCGAGGGCGGCTACGAGGAGGTCTACACCACCATCAACGAGGATGGCTCGCGCAGCATGCGCACCAAGACCTTCTACGATTCCGTGCCCACGGAAATCAATGAGAACACCACCACCAAGGTGAACAAGACCAAGAAGAATGTCACCCGCAAGTCGTCGGTGGACTCGACCGACTCGACGGAGTCCTCGTCGCGCCGCATCGTGCAGAAGGTGCAGAAGAATGTCAACGACTCGCAGTCCAACTATCGCGAGGACACCACCATTGAGGAGACGCGCCGCGTTAGCCAGAACATTGAGATCACCGAGAACAATCGCACCGTGCGCAAGAACTCGCTGCAGGAGCAGAGCATCAAGTCCGTCAGCCAGAGCAGTGGTGATGGCGGCAAGAAGAAGAAGAAGCCCAAGTCATCGGCACCACCACCACCAGCCGACTTTGTGCAGAACGATACCACAACCGTGGCCTCGAAGCGTGTGCCCGGCGGCGTTGAGTACACCTACTCGACGGAGTTGGAGTCGGGCAAGACGATCACCACCTCGAAGACCGTTTACGAGGAGGAGGAAGTCGAGCTCACCGAGGAGGAGATCAAGCAGTACAAGAAGACCCTGAAGGACGCTGAGAAGCACAAGAACGTGACCAGCACCAAGAAGCTCAAGTCCGAGTCGGGCACCAAGAAGATTGTGCCCTCCGAGAATCCGGGCGATGTGACCACTGTGGAGACCATCAAGATCGAGGGCGGCACCGAGTATCACTACACCACCGTCACCGCCGAGGGTATTGTGAAGAAGGCAGTGAAGACTGTGTACGATCCGGTGCCCAGCAACAATCCCAACGACACCGACGAGGAGGAGATCATTGAGGAATACGAGGAGGAGATCATTGAGCCCGGCGAGAAGACAGTCAAGACTATTGAGACTGTGAAGCAGTTGCCTCAGAAGTTCGAAGGTAAACAATAAAATAGAATCCCAAATCAGCTGCAACTCAACTAAATCTCTATTTCAAACTATTTCTTAAACACAGAGGAAGTGACCATCACCCACGAGAAGAAGGAGAAGAAGGTAAAGAAGTCCATGATCATCAGCCAGTAGAGCGCGCTCGGCACAACCAACACACAGACACGACACAAGACACACTCTACACTCACACACACACACACTTCTACACGCGCCAGCTTTTGTATTCGTTGACATTTGAAAAGTATATTTTTGAGCCAGTAAGATCGGAAATTATGAGTACCCCTAATATGTATTTCAGCGCCCAGTTCAGATAGCTGTCGCTGGTCTTTGTACGCTTCTCGTAAGCTTTGTTGTTAATTATTTGGGCAGCTTTCTGTTGCCCTGACGCGAGTCGGATAAAGTCCCTTATAAAATGTTTACACAACACTCAAATTTGTATTAAAGCATCTCAAAAATGAAACAAAATTATAAATTTATTCAACCTAATTGACATAATCATAGCACACATTTGTTTATCAATAAATCGTTTTGAGTTATCAGAAAAAATATGAAAAGAATCTTATTCTAGTTTTGTTTGGGTTTTGGCTTTGGCTTCTTCGCTGACCTGAGACTGCGGCAAAGAAGAAGCAAACCCAAAATGGGAAACAGACTTAAAGCTAACACAATGCCAACGATGTCTAGGAGATAGAACTGATACCAGGGCAGATTGACACCCTCGGACACCAAGTGTGGTGCCCCACGATGCTTAATGACATAATCGATCCAGTACATCGCAGTATCCATTGCACTCATTGGACGATCACGGAAGATGTGGGAAGCTCTCTTCATGTTGTCCCTATACTTAGGATTCTCCAAGAGCTCAGTCAAGGAATAGCGGAGCTCCTTCTCCGTAACGGTGCGGTAGCTTACGCTGAGAGCATAGCCAGCAGCTTCGCCTTTCTTGATATTCAAATACTGATCGGCATAGATGGGCATACCGAGCACTGGTACACCATAATACACCGCCTCCTGAGTTCCAAAGAGGCCGCCATGGGATATGAAAACCTTCACGTTCGGATGGTTTAATATGTCAGTCTGCGGCATCCACTTCTGGACCATCACATTGGGCGGAAGATTGGGTAATTTATCATCCTCAAACTTCCAGAGAACGCGCTGCTTAAGGCTAGAAAAGACCCCAAGGAACATTTGTATTTTCTCGGGTGGAAGGTCCGCACTTCGCACTTGAGAACCTATGAAGAAGATATGTTATCCATGAACATTGCAAGAAGCACATATTTGTAGCTTACCCAAACTGAAGTAGATGGCTCCATCCTTGGCTTCATCTAAGAACTTTTTGATATTTGTGGGCAAAGGCTTGGCGGGCTTTATATGCAGTCCGCCGACTGGAATCATGTTGAACGCTGAGGGCCTAGGAGCTTCCAAGGGCATGTAGCTATTCAGGAGAATGACTGAGATATTGCGTTCTAATTGCTTAATAGTTGGTAAATCTTTAAACTGCCAGGAGAGTTGTCTCTGTAATATCTCGTTTTGTGTAGGATAATACCAGAAGTACCGCATCATTTCCTCTGTAAACGAACAGAACACGCTGTCAATACGTTCCATGAGCGACATGCGGTTTGTATAGGGCTTCCAGCCGTGAGCCACGTACGACCACGGGTTGATGATGCCCGTTAGGGAGCTGAGGTAGTTGGAGTAGCCAAATGTTGTGACGGTTATAATTGGAATTTGATAGAGGTGACCCAGGATGAGGGCACCCTCATTGAAGAACTGCTCGGCCAGAAGTAAATCATATTTCCCCAGCTTGTCTTTGGCAGTGATTAGGTTCTGAACTTCCTTCTGCTCAAATGCAAAGTTCGTGCTGCTCAAGCCCATTGTGTAAGCCACCCTGAGGAATGTGATAGTGCTGATATCTGTCATGTCCAGCGCTGACTTGGCACTGGTTAGGTCCCTAACTGAGAAGTAAGATTTGCTTAAAAGTTGGTTGCAACTACTTTGCTTAGACTTACTTTCGCCCCATATATTGTATTGCGGTATTAGAATCTCGGTGTAGTTCGCCCCAAGGTTCTCCTTGGCCAATGAGAATGGCGTAATGAAGGTCACCTCATGTCCCCTATGCACTAATTCTCTGATAATCGCGTCGGTTATCATAAAATGACTTTTGCCGGGAAAGAAGAAGGGGGCCAGAATACGGTAACCAGCTCCTACTTCCACGTGCTGTAGGGCAAATAGCCCCAGCAGGAGGACTTTCAAGACGCTCTTCGGTTGCTGTAGATTAAATGCATATTGTTATTAATGTAGCTGAAGGAATTATCTTTCTGCTATCTATCTTGAAGAGAGGCAGTTGTATTTGCTTGTGCCAGCTCTTGTCTGGCGATTACGATGCATTTTCCTTATCACGTGCGTCTAATAATTCACTTGCACGTCTATTGCTTTTTACAATGTCAATATTAATATTAAATTGCATTACAGTATGCAGCCTTTTGTTAACATGCATACATTTTGTTCAACTTTGCGCTCAGGTTTAATTTATTTACACACCATTTTCAATTCGCTTGCTGCACTGCACGATTTCCTCAGGCTGCAGTCGACCGATCCGCGCTACGATGCACAAACGACTGAAAGGTGGTCTTCCATGTAATATTTATATATGGACTCCAATCGACTTATCGCTGATGCGCCTGTGATGAAATTCGCTAAATAAATACCCTGTACGACGGCGATAAGATCTCATTACGATGAGTAGTGGGCGAAATGCATTTTGCTAGAGCTCCTCAATTTAATCAATAAGTGTTCAATTCATGCAATCTTAGAATTGCAGGGTAATTATCGGTCAAGCGGTAAATTCTCTAATACTCAGCATTTATCATTCACTTAAATATTAAATCTATTTTTAAATAAAAATGTATTAAATATATATAATATATGCATATATACATATATATCCATATCAATTACAGGGTAGGAGTGTATAATGATCGGAGCTGCGCTGGGAATATATAACGTTGTTTAATACTTACATATATGTTATCAGCTATAGTAAGCGTGTCCACTCTAGCTACTTTATATACTGTTTGCAAGTCTGTGTAAGCAACTATTTTGATTGACTGCAACAATCACAACTAATGATGGATCAAATCAATCTAGAACTAGTTTGTTCATATTGAGATGCTTTCATTCGATTCTATTCTACTCTAATCTTCTATTTGATCTCTACAAACGGATCTCCTGAACGCAAGAGAGTGCATGCCCAGCATGAGAACTGCATAAGGAGTTCATATGCGGGATGAGGTATCTTCCACATGAGCCGGCAGCAGGAACTTCAAGTTAAATCTCTGTTGCTGTAGGTCAAGTAGATAATTGATTTACTTGTGAAATTGCCAAGCCATGATAATTCATATTCTTATCGCTATGGGAATTTCTCTAGTAGCGACCAATTTATTTCTTATATTTATAACAATTTTAAATCTTATCTACTTCCACAAAATTATGAACAATATCAATGGTTGGCATTATCGCTTACGTGCCTATTAAAATTATCTATCAATTTCAAAAGATTTTTTGTTTTCTTTTGGCGTTGTCAAAAGTTTGTGTTCCAAGGTTAAGGTTCGCATAATTTTTCTTAGTAAATTTTGAATTTCACAATTAACTGACAAATGTGATAACTAACACCTTAAAAAGGGCATTTAAGAGAAACTCCATTACTTAGAAAATTGGTTTAACTATAAGTTTATTCAATATAATTAACATACCTAATGTATCCTATTACAGTTTTACAGTATTAGTATTACAGTTTCTGAGTGGCTTTGGGATCTATTCCTAGTTTCGTTTAGATTTTGGTTTGGACTTCTTCGCTGACTTGAGACTGCGGCAAAGAAGAAGCAAACCCAAAATGGGCAACAGAGTTAGGGCTAACACAATGCCAACGATGTCTAGGATATAGAACTGATACCAGGGCAACTTGACACCCTCGGACACCAAGTGTGGTGCCCCACGATGCTTAATGACATAATCGATCCAGTATATAGCCGTATCCATCGCATCCATTAGTCGATCACGGAAGATGTGGGAAGCTCTCTTCATGTTGTCCCTATACTTGGGATTCTCCAGTAGCTCAGTCAACGAGTAACGCAGCTCCTTCTCCGTAACGGTGCGGTAGCTTACGCTTAGAGCATAGCCAGCATCTACGCCTTTCTTAATATTTAAATGTTGATCGGCGTAGACGGGCATGCCGAGGACTGGTACACCATAATGAACCGCCTCCTGTGTTCCGAAGAGACCGCCATGGGATATGAAAACCTTCACGTTCGGATGGTTTAATATATCAGTCTGCGGCATCCACTTCTGGACCATCACATTGGGAGGAAGATTGGGTAATTTATCATCTTCAAACTTCCAGAGAACGCGCTGCTTAAGGCTAGAAAAGACCCCAAGGAACATTTGTATTTTCTCGGGTGGAAGGTCCGCACTTCGCACTTGAGAACCTATGAAGAAGATATGTTATCCATGAACATTGCAAGAAGCACATATTTGTAGCTTACCCAAACTGAAGTAGATGGCTCCATCCTTGGCTTCATCTAAGAACTTTTTGATATTTGTGGGCAGAGGGTTGTTGGGTTTTATATGCAGTCCGCCGACAGGAATCATGTTGAACGCCAAAGGCCTAGGCGCATCCAAAGGCACATAGCTATTCAGAAGAATAACTGAGATATTCTGTTCCAATTGCTTAATGGTTGGCAAGTCTTTGAACTGTGTGGACAGGTGCCTCTGTAGTATCTCATCCTGGGCAGGGTAATACCAGAAGTAGCGCATCAGTTCATCAGCGAACGAGCTGAATACGTTGTCGATACGTTCTGTGAGCGACATTCGATCCGTATATGGCTTCCATCCGTGAGGCACATATGACCAGGGATTAATTAATCCAGTCAGGGAACTCAGATAGTTTGAGTAGCCGAACGTTGTGACGGTTATAATTGGAATTTGATAGAGGTGACCCAGGATGAGGGCACCCTCATTGAAAAACTGCTCGGCCAGAAGTAAATCATATTTCCCCACCTTGTCTTTGGCAGTGATTAGATTCTGAAATTCCTTCTGCTCAAATGCAAAGTTTGTGCTTCCCAATCCCATCCCATAGGCCATTTTGAGGAATGTAATTGTGTTGATATCTGTCATGTCTAGTACCGATTTGACCGAGGAGCCCAAAACTGAAAAGTACTGGGAATTAGTTTGAATTACTTTCCCAGTCAAAATAGACTTACTTGCAGTCCAAAAATTGTATTGCGGTATTAGAATCTCGGTGTAGTTCGCACCCAGGTTCTCCTTGGCCAATGAGAATGGCGTAATGAAGGTCACCTCATGTCCCCTATGCACCAATTCTCTGATGATCGCATTGGTCATCATAAAGTGACTTTTGCCGGGAAAGATGAAGGGCGCCAGAATACGGTAACCAGCTCCTATTTCCACGTGCTGCAGGGCAACTAGGCCCAGCAGGAGGGCTTTCCAGAAGATTTTCGCTTGCTGTTGATAAAATACATAATTTATTACTGACCCAAAGAACTTATCTTATCGAATTCAATATAATCACTCAATAGTATGCCTATCGCTTATCTTGTGATTACAATACACTTTCTTTATCGCCTACGTGCTTTAAATAATTCACTTGTGTTACACTGTGAATATTAATGAATTGCTCTCTGGTATATTAGAGGTAAAATATTATTTTGCACTAGTTGTCAAGTGCTCAGATCAGCAAAGAGCATTAAAAGTTAGCAAACGTTTACCGAAAGAGAGTTAGACAGAGTTAGAGAATGACAGAGACTTCGCTTTGAATGTTTAAGCTTTAGTCTTTAGTTCGGTATTTATTTTTAGGCCACTTCCAGTTTTAGACTGATAAATATTCATGGCTAAAATCTGGGTTTTTTCCTACACATCTATGTCCCACTTTTTAGTTGGGCACTCAATTCATTTATTTGATTAATTTAGCTTAAGCTGAACTTATTCGCACACCATTTCAATTCGCCTGCTGCACTGTGAGAGCTGCTCAGATTTCGGTCGACCGATCCACGCCGCGATTCACAAACGACTAAGACGTCGCTGGCAATGGGTCTTCCAAGTGGACCCCAGGGAACTTATCGGCGAATGCGACGTGATGAAATTCGCCGTTCTAATTCCTTGCGAGACAGTGATAAGGTTTGATGGCTGGTTGTTGGGAATGGGCTTGGATTAAGTTAAATCACTAGGTTTTGGCATGATAGAAATGTGTGTACAATAGGTTGACAGTCTACTTATTACAGGGTATTAAGCAGTTCACTTGATTGCTGAGTAAATGCTCGAAAGCTGTTGCTTCCCAATTAAAAATCAAATTATTCTCTTTTTCTATATATATCTATATATGATTTTCATTTAACTAAATTACAGGGTATTTTTTAGCCTGACTAACTTAACTGTCGGTAGTATCTGATGGGGTCATATGTTGACGCCAGGAGCTTATTAGCTATTTACAGGGTATGCCCAAGGGTGCGTACCCTCGACAACTCGGTACGAATCTGTGTTATCATGAGAGATATGCTAGAGCTACAGCGGACACGCGCGTAACTTAAGAGATTATGATCATCACGCACCTTAAGTCGTGTCCGTGGGGCAAACGTCCAATGCGGGCTATGATTTCGGGTTATCAGACTCATCCACACTATATAGGAGACGAGTTTGATAAGTAAAGATAGAGATATAGATGGGCATAGAGATAATGTTCCAGAGAGATCTCAGCATGGAATGGAGAAACATTTTTTGTTTACTCTTCGGCTTGAAGAATGTGATTTATATTGTAGCCAAAAATAAAACAGTTAAATGGGTTTAATATTTTAAGCTAATATTTGTTGAAATCTGTGTGTGATAGACATATACTTATGTATTTTATGTACTTATGTTTTTTAGTTTATCAGAAAATTATTACAGGGCATTTATAAGTCAAATTAGATTATCATTAGATTATAAAAGAGGAAATTGTTTTGGCTGGCTAATTCATGATTCATAAAATAAAAAGATTGTTTAGCAATGTAGATTACAGAGTATTTTCACTCTTAGCCCACTTAGTTTGCTATATGTTAAAAATCTACATACATATATGTAATAAACTCAAGAGAATTAAATATAAAAGTATGAAAAGAGAAGTAAAGCTGATTAGTTTTTACAGGGTATTTTCATGTTGCGATTGAGAAAGCCGTTCGTTTTCTTAATGGCAAATGGGAAATGGGGAGAGATGTGATTTATGATCGACTGACTGACGCGCTCGTCTTATCAGCCTGTCTAAGACAGTTTATACTATAATATGTATGTATATGCAGCTATGTTATAACTAATCTGCTGTCCAAGCAGCAATTACAGCTAGAAATGATAACGGATCATTGACTTAATTGGTTTTCGCTTTCCGCTGCTTCCTGCCGCTGCCCTGGAGCAGGCGTATGGCCAGCAGGAGCAGGAAGAGGGCGGCCAGTGCGAGGACAGCCAGGAATGCAATCACATCCAGCAGATAGAACTGATACCAGCGCAGGTCGAGTCCAGCGGATCGCATGTGAGGTGCGCCCTTGTGCCGTATCACGTACTCGATCCAGTAGACGGCGCTGCGGCGAGGCGACATCGGGCGATCCCTGAAGATGCGGGAGACGCGCTGCACGTTCTCCGCGTAGCTGGCATTGTGGATGAGCTGCAGCAGCGAGTCGCGGAGCAGATCCTCCGTGATGGACTGGAAGTGCAGGCTAATGCCGTAGCCACCCAGCACAGCCTTGTTCATGTTGAGATGCTGCGAATGATTCGAGCATTGGGCAAACAAATCTTCTATATGTTCTCCATGAGTCGCTCACCTGGTCGCAGTAGAAGGGCATGCCCAGCATGGGCACGGCGTAGTGCACGCCCTCCTGGGTGCCAAAGAGTCCGCCGTGGGTGATGAAGACCTTCACGTTGGGATGAGCCAAGATGTCCGCCTGGGGCAGCCATTTGCGTATCATGACGTTGGGCGGCAGCTGGTCAATGGACTCATCCTCGAATTTCCACAGGATTCGCTGCTTCATGGAGCCAAAGACCTTGAGGAACAGCTGCAGCATGTCTCTGGGCATCTCTTTGCTCTGAACATTGCTGCCTAGAATAGGAGGACAGGATAATTATTTAGGAGCATGTCTGAAGAGCTTTGGGTTAATCCTTACCCAGGCTAAAGAAGATGGCGCCATCTGTTGCCGCATCGAGGAAACTTTGCATGTCTGCGGGCAGCGGCTTGGGCGGATAGATGTGCATGCCGCCCACTGGCACCATGGCGTCCACAGTGGGACGTGCCGTCGTCAGCGGCGCGTGACTGTTGAGCAGCATGACCGAGATTTGCGTCTCCATGTGCCTGACCTTGGGCACTTCAGCTGCGGGCCGAACGGGCAGTGGAATCAGAGAGATTGGTCTACTGAAATCGTTTGGCACTCACCCAAAACTTGGCCAAAGTACCGCTCAGTGATGGCGTCCATTTTGGGAAAGTAGCTCAGCAGGCGATCAAAGTCCTCGTAGAGCGAGACGTACGTATTGTGCACTCGCTCCATGAAGGACATGCGGTCGGTGAAGGGCATGAAGCCGTGCGGCACAAAGGACCACGGCGTAATCAGGCCCATCATTTGGCTCATATGGTTCTCATACCCTAACGTGCTGGTGGTCACAATGGGTATGTTGTACTTGTAGGCCAGCGCCAGAAATGCCTCCTGATAGAACTGCTCGGCGAGCAGCAGATCGAACACGCCCTCCGTTTGCCGGGCATTGATCAGGGCCTGCACCTTGGGCTGGCGTAGCGCATGCTCCGTGGTCTTCAGTCCAATAATCTCCAGCATCTTGAGGAAATCATAGTTCTTCATCTGCGTCAAGTCGAACAGATGCTGCACGCCAAAGTTAAGCTTCACTGTGGCAAATCGAGAAGGTTTCGTAAGTCTTCACTACTTTCTGTCTCTCTCACTCTCTCTCTCTCTCACCATCATGCCAAAAGTCGTACACAGGTTCGATGAGCAGCTCCGTGTAGTTGCTGCCGAGGCGCTGAGCGGACAGCGAAAAGGCCGTGATCATCGTGACATTATGCCCGCTCTCCACGAGTTCCCTTATCAGCGCCGTGTGCATCATGAAGTGGCTTTTGCCTGAGTCACAAACGAACAGTTAAGACTCTCAGCTGCCATTGCAGCACAGTGAAGCTTACCTGGGAAGGCGTACACAGCTAGAATGTTCGCTGGCCTCGCCTGTGGCAGTGCAGCCAGCGCGCAGCACAGTAGAACAAGACTCAACGACCGCAGCTTCATTCTGTGAGTTTCTATTATTTATACAAGATTATTTTCTTCACCTGATGCACTCACTATTTATTGTATTTTAGAACATATTGATTTTCACAGATATTTTTTTAAATCGATGAGTATATTTCTTATTATTTATATAGACATCCTCTAGGCATTAATGAGGGTAAAGAACATTTACTGCTATATTTGACATATACTTTAATTTAGAGCCTTAAAACAAGCCTTTAATTCGACTAATTTTGAATCTGTTGAAACGACTTTACCAGCAGCTCTCTCTCTAACTCTCTCTCTGTCTCTCTCCCAATCGAAACTTAACAGTCGAACAAACTCAGCTCAGCTAATATATGTTAAGCTCCTCAGTTCATTTCGCATTTATCACTGTCTCTTCGCATCAATTAAACATTCAATTCAAATTCAATGCAGCAAAAACAGCAAATGGATTTCGACTCGACTGCACTTGCAGCTCAGTAAGTGCGCAGTTCCCTAATGCAAGTGCATTCCGTATTCCCTGTAAACTCAGCTTCACTATTAGCTTTAGATATTCGTAATAATTAGCTCTAGCATTGCTTCAACTGTCAGGCAAATATCAGGTACTTCACGTATTTTTATTGAAATTGTTTTTTCAATATTTATTTTGAATATTGATTATTTATTTACTATTGCTATATCAATATGAAGCTACCGGTAAATATTTCTATATTGATTTTGGAATGACTTGTGTTTTATTCAAAAACCAGTTTGAAGTTTATTTGTCAAATCTGCTATCAGCATTCAAGTTTGCTCTTAAGCACAGTGCACAGTTTGTTTTCTAATATCCACTTTATTATATATGTACATATATGCAACTCAATGTTTGATTTGTATTCAGTTTTTTAAATTTCGCTCGACCGTTTCACGTCGCGTTTCACAAACGACTGAGATGCTGCCGGCATTGGGTCACACATTTAATATGTGTGGACGCCAAACGGGGCTATGAAATGCTGTAGGTGTATTTGTCACTCAATTCAAATACCCTGCAAAACACCCATAAGGTTATTTTACTATTCTCTCTGCAAAAGGTGCGCTGTATAATCTGTAAGAAATTGATAGCAATTCCAGGGTATTTTCAAGCAAGTATGCTGATTAGCATATTATCTGATTCTCAACTATTGCAACTCAATTAAATAATCAGATCTAGACAGCTATGACATTTATAAATATATATATATAATTACAGCGTATTTTCTTTATATTACTTCACAGGGTATGTTCATGTGGCGCAGTCCTCCAGAATGCCCCATGATTCGGCTATATCACAAATACGTGTTATCAAGCGAGATGAGCTCTACACATATTGAAACTATTGGGCACGCGTGTTATCAGCCAAAGCAGAGCAATTTTTGTTTATGAATATTTATGAAGGCCAACAAACGTTGTTGACAGCTGCGATTCCAACCAGTAATAATGACACATAAATTTTGATCTTCGTGTGTTGCCCGGGAGCAAACCTATGATCCGCAATAGAGCAGCAGATGACCAGCCAATCCGATCTCTCGAAAGACTATTTCGAGGTGCAGTGGACGAACGACGGAGTCGACCACACAGAATACTTATTTATACTCAACTAATATTTCTATACCCCATTTGTTTACTCTATGTTTCTCACTATCTTTTGCCATCAATTAAACATTCAATTCAAATTCATTAGAGCCGTTTTCCGATTGCAGTTCAGTTAGTGCGCAGTTCTCCAATGCTGCCTGTTACACCGTCTCTATACCCTGTAAAGTTATGGATCTATTAGTACTAATTATAAGTTTTCCTAAGTCTCAATTAGCAGCTTGATAAGAGGTATTTAAGATATGTTTAATAAATCAGCTTATTAGTATTTGACGTATTCAAGTTGAATATTAACTTTTCGCAATCAATTACTTTATTCACACACATACCAATACAATCCTAAAGTTGTATAGAGTGTGTGAAAATATACTCTGCATCTCTCACATTCTCGCAGCTCAGTTGCAATGACTCGACTGAAAGCGGCTTGTTTAATTTTAATAATTATACGAGATGCATGTGTGTAATTTGTGTTTCCATCAAACCTAGTAATACCTTACCTTGCGTTACGCTCGAGTGCATAAGTCAGATACAGTAGAGCTGACTTCATATACATACCAATAAGTATCCTTTGTAGGCAAATTTTTTTTTTTTTTTTTTTTTTTTTTTTTTTTTTTTTTTTTTTTT